TGGAATGAGTAAAATTATAAATATATAATGAACTCTTTATTTTATAATAAAATAATAAATAAAAGTTTTTAGTTTTAATTTTTAGGGGAGCTATTTGGGCTTTCTAATTGGGTTAATTCCAAAAGAATCATAGAATGGTCTAAAGTTCCTAAATCGTATTAGAACCAACACCAAACCATAATAAAACGGTTGGTTTGGTTTGATTTCCATACCAAAAGGGTTTGGTTCGGTTTAGAAATTTCTCAAACCATAATTTACCGATTTGGTCTGAAATCTCCAAACCGGACCATGAACACCCCTAGTTTTCACCAAGCAGGCTTTTCACATATTGGAGATAGAATCCAGATTTCCTTCTCACTTTCTCTACCCACAGTAGACTGCAGTTGTACATCTCACAATGTAAGATGGCGATATGTAGTCGTAATTCAAGGCTAGTAGAGAATTGTGGCAAGAAATCTAGACACTTCGAGATAGGCCCGATATGGAAAACACAGAAGCGAACTTTAGTGAAAATCTGGGGTGTAGATGTGTGCTTTTCGAACATGATTTTTAAAAACAAATCGGTGATCGAACTTGATGAGGGGTAATTTGGCCCAACCTAGCGACCGAGGTACGTGTGGATGTGATCAGCCAGTAGGGTGACAACTCAGCAAGGGAGTCTCATCAGCAGCTCAGGAGCTCGGGAGCTTGAGCACCTCAACACCCAATTTAGTTTAGGGACAAAAAACCGAAGTGCCAGTTCGGGGCCAAAGAACCGAAGTACCAATTCAAGGCCAAAGAACCGAAGCACCATGTAATCAACTCCAGAAGCTTCCCCAATGGACTCCAAATTTCCCGGGATCACGATGTCTAATAACAAAGCTCATTTTCACTCTGCCTGAATCGGAGGAAAGTGATAAACCTTATCAATTAGCGCATTGCTCTCCTTCGGAAACGGAACGGATCTTATCTATGTAGTCTGGAGATCCCGGAGCCTTTTCATAGGATTCACAACTACTCAACTATATAAGGGCATTGATCCTCAAGGCGAAGGTATGCGCGATTACTCACATTCAAGGTCTCTAGCATTCATACTTAGCTCACAAACACACAGAGTACTAACTTAAGCATCAGAGCGACCTCATCGGGTCTTCCACCCCGGTCCCTCTGAGCACTGTTTTGCAGGTCGATCCAGCTCACCATGCAAGTACGTCAAGGCAGTTCTCTAGCTAGGAGCTTCCAAATCGCGCACCATCAATTAGCGTCGTCTGTGGGAAACGATCAAAAGGTCATCCCAATCTCAGTTGCAGTTCTAGATTTTGCACCATCTTAATGGATTCTTCCAGCAACACCGGGAAAAGCATCGAGATGAATGCCACCAGGGGGCAAGATCAGCAATCAACCTTCCCCCAAGGCCCCACGGTATGTATCGACCAGTTTACTATTCCCCTTACAGCTTCAGGGGTCCCGTCACTATCCGTACCACAGGGCACCACGGTATGTACCATAGGGGTCCCGTCACTATCCCCCTGGAGTCGAGCACTCCCAATTTCATGACCTTGTTCAATGCGTCCAGACAATACAGATCCAGATGCAGCAAGTTGAACAATTTAAACAATATCAGCAGTACTACCTGTACCAGCAGTATCAATAGTTGTTTCCACCATTGCAGCCGAACCCACCTCGGTACGCAGAGTTGCGCCAGGGGCAGAACTAGAACCAGAACCGGGTCGGAACCAGCCAAAACATCCGTCGATCCCCTCATCGGGATGAAGGGACCTCACAGGTGCTAGTCCCTCCCAGGGGTCAGACTCCACCTCGTGGGAGGATGGACGGTCAACATACTCCTCAAGTATCATAAGGAAACCCCAGAAATAGGCCCGAGGGTAGCCAGCTCAACAGGGCCAACCCGCCGCGACACTCCCAGCGGGAGAACAATGGATCGTGGGGAGATAACAACCAGCTCGAAGCTAGAGGCGCGAACTCAAGGCCGGTCCCTTAGGTGCCTTGTGATAGCCGGTGTGAACTCCACAACCAGGAGAACTTGGCGAGAAGGAACCAAGACCCACCTTGCGACAATGTCCATAATGATGCTGAGATACCAGACCAGACTGAGGTCAGGTGACCGGTTCCCGATTTTCTAGTCCGACCGTCCGGTCTGGTCCAATTTTGAAAACCATGTTTTCGAACGCTATTTTCATGATTGTCTAATGAAGCTACATTGAATTCAACCACCGCTGGTTCACCGCAGCAGTTCAATAAAAACACAAAGCCCTCCCAAACAGGCTCTTAATTTCTATTAAAATACATGAACTGCCACCACAAGTTGGGATTTCCTGCCATCAAAACATGTTCAACACCCTACCAATTGGATCTAACACTGCATATTTTTCACCATGAGACTGGGACGCACAATGTAAGAGATGTGTGGTGTCAAATGATGTTGATAGGCTGTTGGAATATATTTTGTTGGCAGGTGATCCGGACTCCAAAACATACGCCCATTTCCTTCGGTGCAGGTCAGACAACCACAAGCCACCGGATCCGCCATAATTGGCTGCACAGTCGTGATGAGTACTTGAAAACTAAAGGAGTCATGAAGAAACTAAACTGAGAGAATCAACATATAAAAAAGCCAAGAGCAATCCAAATATGAAAACCCAACATCCAATGGCAGCCTTAAAACCTCCTCCATCAAGATTTGATAACGTAGAGACTCTGTCATTGCTGTACTCCATCGCCATTAAAGATTAAACACGCGAAAGCACAAACACAGCTGAACAGACAAGGAATTAAAGAAGGTGGAAAGCAATTAGGTCTAGGGGTGTAAATGGATCGAATTCAAATCAGATCAGGCAGTATTTAAATTCGAATTCGCTTACAAAATTCGATATTCGAATTTGATTCGATATTTAACGGATATTGAAAATTACTATTCAATTCGATTCGAATTTAACTAATTAATTATTTTAGGTAATTAATAAATATTTTATTTATATAAAGTATATAAATTATATAAAACATTTAAAAAATTTATATATTATATATAAGAATTAAATACTCAGTCGAATTCGGATATTTATCGAATTGAATCAGGTCATATTTGAATTCGAATCCAATTAGATTCAATATGAATATGATATCTGAATTCAACCGGTTAGATATTCGATTTATCCAAATTCGATTCGATTATGTCCAATATCGAATTTGAAATCGGATTTTCGAATACCGTCGACACCCCTAATTAGGTTGTACTCTATTTTCACGTCATTAACTCATAAATTTAAGCCATTATTCTCTCTTAATTTCTTTCGCTCTACTCTCCACTCGAATTCAAAATTCGTCTGAATTTTGTCTTTTAAGACATTTTCTTTTCTTATAACATGTCTATCAAAAATAAAAGGAAAAATAAAATAATGTTTATGTGAACAAGAACCCGTTACCTAAGAATTAAGATACAGGCATATTTCTAGTTCCTCCATTATTTTTTTTACAGACTCCGTTTGGAAAGAGTGTAAATACATATATATTCAGTGCAAAACCTTGTGCGTATGTTAGGTAGGTAGATATGGGAGGTTTTTCTTTTGATATCATTAGGGAATCCATAATGATGTGCAGGTAGCCAGGTACATAATATGTTAACACTGTTGGAGAATAAAAACCTATTCGGGGACCTCACCCAAACTGTTATGTGAGCTTCCAGATGAAGTCCTTGAATAGGTTTTTATTCTCTAACAAACACTAATTCATATCATACACAACTTGCCCTGAGGAGATTGCCGTCATCCTAGCAGAAAGAGCTTCTTCACACAACCTTGCTTAGGACGCCAGTAAGTCCGCTCTCGCAGAGAGAACATCGTCATTTGACGCCGGCAATTTTTTTTTAAGACCTACTTTGCTTTCTTCCTCTTCCTCCGATTCTCCTGCTTGGCTTTCTTCCTCTTCGATGGCTTCTCCCTTCACTCTGCCACCTTCTGTCCTATTCTTATCTCCTCCCATTTATCATCTCTCTCATTGTTTTAGAGCAATTCAATTCAAGATTTAACCCTGGGATTGCCTTCCTTTAGAATCGAGGAGTCTCTAACTCCAGGAGTACCAGTGCTAACAGTATTCTTTTGTATCTGCTGCGCCTCCATCAGGATGGTGAATTGGATTGCATTTATCATAAAATCTTGAACAATTTGGAAAAGGTCATACAGACAAGAAGTTAGATCTCCACTCAGTGGACCAATATGACTACCGGCGAATTTCCCAGTTGCGGTCAATTTAGACCGTTAGATTGACTCATGGTACTCAAATATCAAGAGCATATATCACACTGTAACATTCATACAAATGTTTCTTAAAATGCAACACCAAACACCCGAATTGCAATAACCGTTTTCAAACACCCACAAAACACCCAACCAAACAACAAAATAAAAAAAAAAAAAACATTTAAAGCAGCATTTTTCATATAAACTTTATTCAGATAAGCATCCCCTCAATAAACACCAAGTATGTGTTTGATTCTGTGAGCGTTTATAAATAGACCGTTTATTTGTATTTTTTCACTTTAAACATTTATTTACATTTTTTCACTTTAATCATTTCCTGTTTCTGTTGTTTGATTGGACTTCACTTTAACGTTTTTTACTCTTCACTTCAGATTAATACCCATTAAAATGTGTCACATCAATATTTGGTTTAAAGAAACGCTAGGATGTTGGGGGAAACAAGAATTTAACATTTCCCCAAATGCCCCATGTACAAAAATCAATGCATTTCAGTTTTTCTACCATTTATTTAATAAACGGTGAAACCAAACAGTTGTTTCATTTTGCTTTATCTACAATAAACACCAATGCCTATATGGGGCTGATGTGGTGGTGTTTTTGCAATAAACGCTCAAGGAACCAAACACAGCCATTGTTTGAACATCCGGTCCAGTTCTTATAATATTGCAAAGAGAATTCGTGTTAGATTGCACTATCCAGTTTGAGTTGCCAATGGTTTGAAGTTTGAACAGAGCCTAGATACAATTTCCTCATTCCCTCTGCATTGAGGGATAAATAAACTTGTAAAAATATATTTATTTCTACTTGTCAAGTATCAGAACAACAATACAACTCTGAGCATTGTTATTTCTTATAGTATATTTGATTGTTCTTTCTCTTGCAGTAAATTTAGAGCAGCAAGAAATGCATCCTTTTAATCTACTGCAACAAAGAATCAGGTCTTTTTTATCATCTATCTGATTGCACAGTACCCTGAGTGCTAATCAGCATGTCTGAGGTACACGGCTTTAATACCTTCTTGATCCCAGCCAGGTAAAATGTGAAGACATACCTTCAAAGAAACCGAGTCAAAAACAAAGAATATGCAGTTTGGAATACTATTAACATCTAAATTCTTCCTGCTTCAGCTGTATTGGAATCCTCTGCTCGACTACCCAATCTGACAATGTCCTCAACAAGAATTCTTCCTTCTGTTGCAAGGAAACTTAAAAAGTTACATTCATACTTCATGGCCTAGTATTTATTGCTTCAATTCATCAAGAAAAGAAAACAATAATGTAAAAACTAATAATAAATAATGTAATTACTGACATAACTGAAGCAGAAAAAATTTTGGACAAATCCTTCAGCACCAATATATTGTATTCATTGTTGTAAAGAATCAATAATTGATGGTTCCACATAGGAGATCAGAATATAAATTTCCAGGGGTGCAACTTGGATGGGCTCAGGTTGTGAATTTGTCAAATTTTGAATGGGCCCAACCCAAAAGCCCAGGCTTGACACTGTAGATTCTTCAACTAGGGTATCTGACTTGCACCCCTATAAAATTATTCAAACAGGGGTAGTAATATGCATAGTATGGGTATTAGATGCATGATTTCCCTTTTCTTTATTAGAACCAAAGTTGTCAAGGCATCTAGGCGATTCTGGGCAATAGAGAGGCACCTACTAGCCAAGTCATCTAGGAGATGTCTAGGTGATAAGAATTTCAAAAAACAAAAATAAAAAATTGGCTAGTTCCCTAGTTTTATATAAGTTCAGCTTCAGTCAGGGCAAAGCCCGTCATTGAGAATATCTCCGTACTTCTGTACTTTATTTCATGGGGAGATATTCCCAATGCAAAGTTGAAAAAGGCGGTTGGAACAGTGTGGGCACAGGCTTGCCTTGACAGAAATCGATCTCATTTTATATACCATTCAGCATGCATGTTAATTAAAAAAATAGCAATTCTCTTTATTAAGAACATAAAATTTCCTTTCGAAACATGGCAAATCATCAAATCTAGGACATAGTATTTGAAATAATATTAATTTCAATAATAAAACAAGCATTTAATAGAGCAAGTTCGTATCAAATTAAAAAATAAATAAGGCTATATTTTTATGGAAATATTTAAGATAGCAAGTCAAAGAGAAAAAGAACAAAACTGGAGGCATGTTTTATTTAATGTAAGAGCAAGGAGAATCGGAAAAGGAAAATGTTTTTATACATCCATTCTTTCTTTTTCTTTTTTCAAAAACCTTGGATCTTTTAAATTTCAATACTGGGACTCTAAAGCAAAGGTGCATACGAATAATATTAGGGAAATTGTCTAAAAAGTTTTCAGCATTTCTCTTAAACTGACTACAACTTTTCAAAATGTCTAAAACTCACCATGTCACTAACTTGATGTTAAACAGACTAACAGGTGTTAATATATTACCATTTTAACCTTCATAGAAAAATATAAAATATATACAAAATAAATTAACGGGTGTTAATATATTACCGTTTTAATATTTAGACATGAAAAAAGGAAAAAGTTCAAAAAAATATTTTTAAATTATAGAAACTATAGAAATTGAAAAACAAAATCAGAAAATAAAAATTGTAGAAAAAACACCAAATTTTATAGAAAAACACAGAAATTGTAAATAAATAAAAAAATACAGGAAAAATTATAGATTGTAGAAAAAAGAAAAATGTAAAAAAAAGCAGAAATTATAAAAAACATTGGAAATTATAAGAAAACACTAAAAATGCAAAAAAAAAAAACAAGAAAAGTGAAAACTGAAAAGACCATTTTTCCTCTAATTCACCATTCAAGGGTAATTTGGTCATGAAAATTGTTATTTATGTTGACATGGACACCTCTGTTAAGAAGCATTAACGGTGCACTAATGGAAGGTGAGTTTTGGAAAATAAAAACCTACTGACATGGGGAGTTTTAGACATTTTGAAAAGTTGTGGTGAGTTAAAGAGAAATGTTGAAAACTCATGGTGAGCTTTAGACAATTTCCCATAATATTATAAAAAAGGTGCCCACCTTGTCATTTTTATTGGCTAGGTGGGCACCTAGTTGCCTAGACAGGTGCCTTATTGCCATAAGTCAAGGTATTCAGGCAAGGAGTCTAGCTGCCTAAGCGACACTCAGGCAACTCCTTGATAACTATTTAAAACTATCTAATTATTCAATGATATGGAAAAATATGGGAATTTCTCATGAAAACATATAATATGTATATAATACAGGATTTAAAATTTTAATAAATACATACGTACATTTAAACATAAAAGATTCCACTTTCATTTCATTTTTATAAATGATAATGCATTAAGCATGCATTCATTTTTAATGAAAATTTTACCATACCATATAATTTGTCATTGTTTCATTTTTTCTTTAAAGCAAATTATAAACAAACTGTTCCATGGTGCACCTTTTTACATATGTAATATGATTTACTATGCCTACAACTAGCTATTTAGATCCATTTAACTTTCATCGTCTCAGTAATGCACTAGATTGGATGATTTGACTCTGTTCAAGAGAACTCGTGGGCAAGTTCCTGCAAGGGAATACTGGAAAGAAGAGAATGAGAGACCAACCTCTATCTTTTGAAAGGTTGCTTATAAGCTCTTGGATGCCATCCTTGCCTAAGGTGTCTTTGAGGTATATAGCTGCAGCAGCCACCTCTTCTGGAGTGACTTTCCCATCAGAATCCCTGGCATCATATGGATGGATGGTGTCAATGAGTTTTGCCAAACTCTTTAATATTATGAAATATAATTAATGAATTGCATAAATATTGGATTGTTCATTCACAACATTTACAGATGGCAATCAACATGTCACATTGAGAAAATACAATAAATGAAGGCCAACAAATTCATCTGGGTCAAAATCAACCACATCATGAAATAAGAAGAAATCAATTGACAGTTGTATTCATACGATCAGGTTGAGTTTCAACCTAGGTAGAACCATCATGTCATGATATCAGGATACCCATACATGCTTAGTTGGCCAGTGTCAGACAAGAACAAGATATATATCCAATATGACAATACTCCATGGAGACTTCGTAGGGTACAATGTACAGCATGAACAATAGTAGAATATCCAATTGATACAATTTTATCAAATCATTACAGTAGAAAACATGTACATTACAATAAGTTTAGATAAATTTGGCAAGAAACCTGTACTGTAAACAATTTTTGTTTTGATAAGTAAAAGAAAATTTTCATTAAAATAAAGAAAAGAAAGAATACATTCTGTATAGGTGATAAGGTAGCACCTAACCACAAAAAACAAAACTAAAACAGTACAAATTCAAAATTCCAGTTCACAATTTTGAAACCCCATCACCTCCCATAAGCTTTCTCCTAGATCCTCTTGGGCTGAGAAAACTCTGGCAATGCCAAGACCCAATCTGCAACAGATTTGCCAACAGCCGCAACCAGTTTATCTGGGTTCCATTCCTTGTCTTCGAAGATTCTTCTATTCCTTTCTTTCCAAATGTTTCCTCCCTTGATGCTTGGCCAAGTAGAGAAGATTTCTGCAGGTGTCCTTGGCTAGTAATTCCTATACTCCAAAAAGTGCCGAGAAGAGATTCCACAAGAACCCAGAAATTTTGCATGAAAAGAGGTGGCTTCCTGATTCTTCATCCTCCTTACACATCATACACATGCTAGTCATGCTAAATCCTCTTGACTTCAAATGATCCACTGTCAACACACTATCCATAGCCACCAGCCATGCGAAAGCTTCCACCCTCTGGGGAATTGGATTACCCCATACCCCATCTATTGCTTCAAAGTCCACTTGGTTCCTGCACAAGGCTGAATAGCATGATTTGACACAACTTTTCATTTGAGCATTCTTTCCACCACAATTCATCCCTAGACTGAGCTGAGACTCCAATTTCCCCAGTAAATTTGAATACTCTTCCATCCCCTGTCAAGGAGTGACCTTCTGAACCTTGGGCACCATACTATCTGCTCTCCCGATTCTTTCATAACAGCTTAGAATATTCACTCCTGGTTCCGACAGCCTGAATAATCTTGGGCATACCTCACAGTCTTCCCACCCCACTTCAATCATCCTCCCAAAATCTTATTCTAGCTCCATTCCCAACTGTAAAGATTTTCAGAGTTCTAAACTCCTGATTAAAGTTCATTAGTACTTTCCACACACTCACACCATAAGAAGAGCTAACTTCCCTTGTTTCCCACCCAAATCTAGTCACCCCATATTTGCTAACCACCACCCTCCTCTCCATAGGGAGTTTTCCTCCTTGACCCGAATCTCAATAACCATTTCCCAAGTAAGGCTTTGTTGAATAACACCTCACCCTTACCCTAAGCCCCCTCCTTATTTGGGTCTACACACCGTATCCCATTTAACCAAATGAAGCTTTTTGCCCCTCCCTCCCCCCACCCCTTCCCATAAAAATCCCTCTGAATCTTTTCCATTCTCTCTGCAATTTTTTGTGGAACCCTCAGCAATGATAAATAATATGTGGGCAGACTTGATAACACACTTCTTATAAGGGTTACTCTTCCCCCAAGGATAAGTATCTTGCCTTCTCACCCATCCAACCTCCTCTCTATTCTTTCAATGACTGAATTCCAGATTGTGATGTAAGCAGAATTGCCCCCAACCAGTAAACCCAAATAGGAAAATGGGTTTTCCCTATTCTGCACTCTCACTGAGGTATCCAAAAAAGGCATGATCAGCATATTGTAAATGAGAAATAACAGGCCCCTCCACTCTCACCTTAAATTCTTCAATCAATCCCAGCTGCAAACTTCTCTCCAGCAACAGATTCAGCACCTCCATGCAAAATCCAGTTTCTCCACCTTTTTCCCCTCATCCCATCAATCTTTGAATCTCCTCTAAGAAACTCCATTCTACATGGTCATAGGCTTTTTCAATATCAGTTTCACACCAAACCTGCTCTACCACTTCCAACTCTTGAATCAATATGTTCACTAGCCACTAAAACCCCATCTAATATCTGTTTCCCTTCCACAAATGTCATTGAGTCTCCCCCACCACTTCATGGATCACTTTTTTAAGCCTCTTATATAAGACCTTCCAAAAAGCTTATATAGACGGCTGTTAAGGCTAGTCGGTCTAAAGTCTTTCAGCTAGAATGCTCCTTCCTTCTTTGGGATTAATGACAAAAAGGTCTCTTTCAATCCAATTAACTGAGAATTCACGCAAGTTTTTAGGAGTCACTTCCCCGAGTGATGCCCAACTCCAAGTTCTTGATGTGAAGAGCCATTCATAGTAACCCACTACCTTCTCCTGAATCCCCCCCCCACCAAGAATCCACCACCTCATCCCCCACCTGAATTCCTTGTTTAGATTTGCCCTCCTCACATTCGTGTATGCATGGAAAAAAACAGTATTTTTATCACCAGCTTTCAACCATGGCATCCTTGACTTTTGTCTCCAACTTTCTTCTTCCCTCGGAATTAATCTTTCCAGCTCAGCTTGTAATCTTCCTCTCTCCTCCCTTGCCTTTCTCGACAAATCATTTTTTCAAGCACCTCCCTCTTCTTGTTCCTCACTTCTCCAAATACATACTTATTCCAACTTCTTAGTTCCTTCAGCAACTGAAATTTTCTAATCAATCTGAAACCTGTCGTACCAGCTACATTCATCCCTTCCCACTTCCTTCTTACCCAATCTGAAAGGTCTGGGTGATCAAGCCACATGTTTCCAAATTTGAACAGCTTAGCACCATTAACCACCATAGACTAACTTAGGAGAATTGGTTTATGATCTGACATGAAGGAAGGTAATGTTTCTTGGATAACTTCCACCACATTTTTCTCCCAATCCCTTGAAAAGAGAAATCTATCAAGCCTTCTCAAAATGGGTGAGCATTGCCCATTTATCCAAGTATATTTACTACCACTTAATTGTGGATCAATCAAACCATTCCTTATAATGAACTGACCAAATCTTTTCATCCCCACATTTTCTCTCCCCTCTCTTCCTCCCTTCATTTCCCCCACTCTCCTTTCTACATTAAAATCCCCCCCCCAAAACACCAAGGACCTTCCCACTCTTGCCTCAGACCCACCAGCTCCCTCCAGAACTCCACCCTTTCCCCTTCTTCATTCATCCTATACATGTTTGAAAGACCCCACCTCCACCCTCCCTCCCTCCCTCCACCCCTTCTTCCCCCAATTTTCATCAATATCCTCAGATCCCAAATAATTACCCCCCCCCAGATGATCCCTCAAGCTCCAATTACAGCCAATCCCCACTATCGGGGCCCCATATTTCACTTTTCATGGTTGTATCAAATTTCTCTAGCTTTATTTCCTATAACATTACTACTTTTGGATTAAATTTTCTCACCACACTCCTTACTAGCACCCTTCTTCGACCATCTCTTAGACTTCATCATGTTCCAAGATAGCAACCTCATTTCTGCCTCACCCTTCACTACCCTTCTGTCACAAACTTCCACGCACCCCTTCACACTTCTTCAACCCAATCGTCTTCCTTCTCTTCTCCTTCTTCCCGTTCCTCTCCTCCCTCCCCAATGTTTTTTTTTCTTGTTCTTTTCTTCTCCTCTGCTTTTCTCCAACTGTTTTTCCCTTCTGACCACCCTTTTCCCCTCCCAAAAAGAACAAATTGTAAGTCTTTCCTACCTCCACCTGTCTCTCCACCACCGTCTTAATTTCCACTCTCTTCTTCCCTAGGCCTCCTTTCTAGTATCTCCCCCCTCATCACCCACAACCACCTCAAACCCCTCTTTTTGCCTCACTTCCAAATCCTCTATCTCTCTCACCTACCCCCTCCTTCCTCCAACTTCATTAACCCCTTGGTTTCTATTTCTTTTTTTCTATTGTATACTTTGCTCTGCTCCCACCACTATCTTCCAAATTTTGAAACTTCCTTTTTCTTTTTTAACCCTCCCCCCTCTTTCTCCTTCCTCTTCGATCCCTACTCCCTCCTCCTCCCTTATCCTATTAACATCTTCCCTTATTTTTTACTCTGAGAGAGTGGTCGAACTTACCTCCTTATTCAAATAAGCGACAATCTCTAGAACTCTTGAACCAACCTCCACAACTTCCTTATTTCCTATTGTCGGTGATAACTCCACCTTGTCGTTACTTTCTTCCTCCCTAACTTTGAACTCTTGTCAGTCTCCCTACTTCATCTTCGCTATCTTGTTCCTAACATGGAACTTGTGACTGTAAGGTGATTTGGCTCAAATGGCTATCAATCCTACCATGGTTGAGTTGTGATCTTATGCCTTCCACATGGCATCGTGTGTTGACAAGCCTTTCCGCTTCTAATCACATGCTAACTTTCTCCTCTTCCCTTCTTGCACATCTTCGCCCTAATCTATTGTGGTTGTCTTCTTCCCTCCTTCATATCTTGTCGTCACCCAAACCCAGTTGTCGGCCTAGCTTCCCAAGGCTAAGATTTTCCTTCTACCATCTCTTCTTCTTACATTCAATCCCTAATTCAGTTTTCCAAAAATACCCCTTCACCTACCACCATTTGTTCCAGTTAGACTTCTTAAAAGCCATACCACAATTCTTCTTCTCCCTCACCCCAACTCTTCAATTCCCTCTCCTCTCTTGTTTCCTCCAGTCCTCTACCTTTACTCTTACATAATCTCCCCCTTCCCCTACCTCCCTTCCTACTTCTAATTTCTGCTTTTCTATCAACACCTCCCTCTCTCCTAAA